GGCACGCCTCCCCTCTCCCCCATCCCAACCCCATCCAGCTCACTTTCTGCGCAAGCGCAGCGCAAGCAGCCTTCCCCTTCCCCGCCCGCCCGCATAGCCTTCTGGGAAATGTAGTCTTGGAGGGTGCGCTGTTGCCTACCGATCTTACTGCTAAAACCCCTCTGAAATGCCCAATTGGGGAGGAAAAAGTGAAGACCAAAACCCCAGGACCTCGTCTTCTGACCCTTGTGCACACATTTTTCGTGCTACCAGTCCACTCTTCCAAACTGACTGTGTGCACACCCCAGCCTCAAACCTCTCTCTGCCCAAGACGCCCCTCTACGCTGTGCGTCCGCCAGCTGGCTGGCGCCCCTTCACGGGCTGGCGGCCACTAAGCGACTCTGCTCCCCTCTAGATCGAATAGGGTAGGTGCAGGGAAGTGGGCGCTGTGAATCAGAAGGGCAAGGGGAGGGAGTCTGTAGGATGTGCTGAAGGACACAGAGGTTGGCGTGGGGGAGGGTTATCGGCTCCCATATTGTGCCGCCTCTGTGGGAAGCCCACGCCGCTCTGATGCAGAAGAGAGGGCTGGAGTGGCGTTGTCTGGGCTTGGGAGGACCTGGCTGAGCTGACCAAGATCACCTGTCAGGATGACAGAAGGCTATCTCCGAGCCATGAGCCAGCCCCGGAACTGGGGTGGCCCTGAGGCTGCTGGTGTTTGCAGCATACGTCTGCTGATCTGTCTCTCTCCTCCTGAGAACTGCGATCAATACCCTGTACTGCCTCTTCCCAAACCCTGGCTGGACCCTGACTCCATCCATCACTTAGGCTGCTTTTTCTAATGAATATTTTCTCTACTGAAAGGGCTGCTACCGGAGCTTCGGCATAGGGAGATTTCTCATCAGATCTGTCATTTTCCTTGCTAAGGCCTGGAAAGTACCTTCATCATCCGCCTCTTTCTTTTTCTCGGCTGATAACATTTATTCCCACCCTCACACAATCAAGAGACAAAACTCTGCTCCCCTCCACGACCACTATCACATCTTAAAAGAGACACTAATCCTCTTTTCCCTACTCAATCTCTCATACCTCACCCTATACTCATTCCTTCAGCTAAGGGAAAACCAAATTTGAGAGCAAATAGATCAAGGTCTGTGACTCCAAGACCTCAGACTTTCTTCCTTTTCATCCAGGGACGGTTTAAGTATTTCAAGGATACTCTCTGAGGGCAGGGATTCTTAACCTGAGATCCATAAATGATCTTTAAGGGGTCCGGTAATCTGGTGAAATTGAATGTAAAATTATATCCAAGTGCATTTTTCTAGGGGATGTAAGTGTAACGTGTGACTGTCTATCGGAAGAGGGATAGATGTGCAAGTTTGTTCAGCAAGAACTTTGTAGTTAGGAGAGTAAAGCATATGGCCATCAACTACTGACAGGAGGCTTGTCTGGGTCACAGATGGTAGGAGACCAAATGTAAACAGCATTGTGGAAGCTGCTATCCCTCACCTTTTGAGTTTGCCCCAAATTTGCTAATGAGTCCCAGTTACTTTGGACTAACTAGATGACACCAAAAGAGGAGATGTCACCAGACTGGAGCCTGCCAGGAACAACTGCTCAGCCAGCAGACCCTATTACTTGGGATGTAGGGTGGAGAGGAGTGGAATGGTGTGTTGGTGGAAATGCTGATATTGGTCCAAGAACTTAAAGCAAGGGGTAAAAAGGAAAAAAAAAAAAATTCCCAGAAGGGCTCCAGTCTTAGCTCCTTCATGGCAAATGCTCACAGCACTGTTTATTCAAATGTGTAATAACAAGCACCAGAAAACAACATGCAACATTCTCCCCCCAGCCCCCACCCCCACCCCTGATCTGCAATCCTGGAAGTAGGAGATCTATGACTATGATGGCAAAGGGAACTCATGTCCAGGAAATGTCATAGGTGGGTACCCTGGCAGGGTCAGAGTTCACTAAGGCAAAGGGCAAGTGCCCTGCCTGTTGGCCTCCTGCAGCAGCTGGAGAAACCAGACACCTTCTCCTACTTCAGGCCTCACTAGGCAAAATGGTGATGCCAGCCCTGGTTGGAGGAGATGTGAGTCCTGTGAAGACACCTCTCGGCAACTGGCCCAGCCTGGTCCTCTGGAAGTGATGAGGTGAAGTAGCCTTTCCTTTTAGGGTGGCCATGGGGAGAAAGGCCATAGCCTAAATCAAGGCTCTGCTGGCTGAGAACGAGTCAGCCTCTTGAGGAGAAGGAGAAAGAGCCTTCTCTGGTCTAGGGAGAGTTCCAGGCAAGGAGTCCTTGACATGAGTGAATACCCCCCTTTCCCTAGTTGAAGGGCCAGTTGCTTACTTCTGCCCCCAAATGAGAACACTTTATCCATCACATTTCAAATAAATTATAAATATGTACACAGAATCCAAACAAAGTTCCAGAAGAAGCTGCTCACAGACCCCCACAGGGGCCAGCTTGAAGTAAAATAAAGGTCACCCTTTGTTTTCTGTGTCTCTGGAGCTGTAGGCAAAATTGTCCCCCCTTGTCCTTGAGAAATCATGGGGACAGCTCAGGACAGAGAGAGAGGTTCAGACTTAGAAACACTATCACCCCCATCTCCTTTCTTCCCTCCTAAAATCTCTTCCTCAAAATCTTCAAAAAAAAAGAAATCTAATTCTTTGCTGAAGGATTCTGGAGCATTTGGGGATCTAAATCCCATACTCCCCCTGACAAGTAGGGAAACTCTGACCCAAAAAGGAAATGACTGGCCCAAAGTCAAAGGTGCTCACTCCCAAGTACCCCAGAAATGCACACAATAGTATGGATGGCATTTAGGGAGGTGAGGCAGTTGGAGAGTACTGACTCAGTGCTGAGAAAAGATTGGCACAGGGCACTTTCACCTTTGGGATGCTAAGTGGGCCAGCTGGCACTGGATTGGAAAATGGTTGGATTCTTCCCTCTTCATCCTTCCGTAGCAGCCCCGTGGCCAGGGCGGATTGAGGTGTTTTGAGCTCGGTAGGAGATGAGTGGTCCTTACTCAGTTAGCACAGACTCTCAGGCCTTGGGGTCCAGAGGAGGACTGAAGGAGGTGTCAGGAAGAGGAGACACACCAAAGACAAATATGGAACTGGGTCCCGAAGTGAAGAAGCACCAATAGCAACAGCCTGCCCTGGGCTGGGGAGGGGATAGGGCCTAGGAAAAATGAAGCAGGGAAGGAATGGGAGAGCAAAGGGAGGGTCATATCCTTTTGTAAAAGTGAGAAGGAGAAGTATGAAAAAGCAACCAGAGTAGGAGCAAAAAAATAAAATGAGCAGAGAGTGAGGAAGAAATGGGCCCATCCATCCATGTCCTGGGGTTCTGGGGCAACTTAGCCTCATGATGATCCTTTGGGCCTTTGCAAAGCCCCAAACTGGCCCCACAGGAATGAAAGGAAGGCCTGGACAGACTTCAAAAAGGATCTCGAGTGCCTCTTACTCAAGAGGCTGGTTAAAGAGATGGACAGAGAGGTTGGAGTTGGGGGGTAGGGAGGTGGTTAAAATGGAAAAATCTCCTAGACCTCTCATCTTGTGTCCCAAGTGTGAGAACAAGCCCACGAGGGAGGAAGATCAGGAGTTTTTAGGGTAAGTATGAGCTTAGGGAGCCCTGGTGGTACAGTGGCTAAGAACTCAGCTGTTAACCAAAAAGTCTGCAGTTCGAATCCACCAGCCACTCCTTGGAAGCCCTATGGGGCAGTTCTACTCTGTCCTGTAGGGTTGCTATGAGTCGGAATCGACTCGATGGCAAAGGGTTTTGTTTTGTTTTTTGTTTTTAATGAGTGTAGAGAGTTGGTGAAAAGTGTCCCCGCCAGGGTGGTGGGGAGACTGAGGGAACAGAAGAAACTGATTTCTGCCAGCAAGTTTCCTGGCTGTGGTTTCTTGTGGGGATGATTGAAATTGCAACTTGGTTGCAATTTATCTACTCCCCACTGATTTCCAGGCCTCATCGGGACCCTCTAAAAGGCTGTTTTCTAGGCCAGTCAGCCTCCCTGGTTCATATATGATGGACTCTGTGGGCAAGCAGAGGCCAGAGAGGAGAGTGGGAAGCACACCGAGCTCCGAGCTGCCCGGAGATCAATGCAGACACAGACCTGGATGACAACCATTGAGAGGGGTCACCAAACCACTGCTGGGCCCTTCATGCAAGGGACCAAGGAGAAGGCTGCCAGCCAATTTCCCCTCCTCCCTTTTATTGAAGCTGGACAGGTTGAGATAAAGGAGGATGCCAGGAACCAGTCTCAGGGCTCTGGTCTCCTGCCCCCAACCCTCACCTGCAGCAGAGGCTGGTTCTCAGAGGCTATGAGGGTATGAGTAAGACCCCAAGTAAGATGCCTGGGTCCAGGCAGTAGACAAGAAGCACTGAGCTCCTGCCATCTGGGGTTCTAGCAAAATGAGGGACAGAAAGCCACTGGAAGGGCTGCCCAGGTTTCAGAGGCTCATGCCTGCCCATCCATCTTCTCAAAGCTCAAAGCCCAGAATGATGGGGGAGGGGAGTTGAGGGAGGAGGAAAAGGAAGGTCCTGGAAGCCGGAGATGGTTGAAGAGGTGCTGTCCAGTTCCGGAGTAGCCAGGTGGGGGCTGCTTACTGCTTCTCAACGGCTCCCTGCTCAGTGGCGCTCTCCTGGCTGGGGCCCTGGCCCTGGTCCTGGCTCTGCCCATGCCACGGGGTCTCCTTGAACACAAACCAACAGTTCCCGGCCCACAGGAAGAAGTTGATAAAGCCAAAGAGCTGCAAAGACATCAGGGGGAGTTTGTGAGACTACTAAGGGGACACTCTGAGAACCGGAAGGGGGGAGTTCCTCTGTGTGTGTGTGTGTGTGTGTGTGTGTGTGTGTGTGTGTGTGTGTGTGTGTGTGTGTGTGTGTGTGTGCGTGTGTGCACACCAGGGTGTGGTGTGAAGAGGCTCAGAGGACTAGGAAGACTAAAAGACAGAGAACTGGATAAAGGCAGGGTTCCAGGCCATAACCCACTAAGAGATTCTCAAGTTAAAGTGTCTAACTCTGTCCCTAGCACGTGCCCAGGGAGTAGCTTGATGTCTAGGAGACTGGATCATAGAGGAGAGCATTGTACAAAGCACAGCAAGGAGCCAAGAGCCGGGACCCTGGGGGAGCGCCCCAAAGCCACGTGTGACCCTGTCTGAAGCACCTTCTGTGGGATGGGTGTGGCTGGAACTGTCCAAGGTGCTCCTTCCCAAGGGCCAGGGACCCAGCCAGCGTGATATTCAAATATTTATTCAAAACATTGAAAAACCTATCAGCAGGAGATGCTTAAGAGGAAGTGTACTGATGTCTGCAATTAACTTTGAAATGCGTTAAAAATAAGACGGATTGATAGATGGGGAGAGGCGGGTAGATGTGTGATAGAGCAAGTCTGGTACAATATTAATGGTACAGTCTAGGTGGTGAGTACGTGGGTGTTCACTGTAAAATTCTTTCACCTATGCTCTATGTGTGAAATTTTTCACAATAAAATGTTGGGCTCCAGCAAGGTCCAGAAGACTCCTTAGTGTGCAGCCATTAAACCCTTCAGTTGCTGGACCCTACTGAGGTTCAGGCTCACAAGGGCAGGGCTGAGATGGCTGGGATAATAGGTGGCATTTGAAAAGCTCAAGGCCTCAGCTATCTACTAACTGATAGGGAAATATTTCAACATTTTAATAATTGGCACAGCCAAGCATGCGCATGCCAGCTGGACCTAACACTGCCAGGAAGGCCCTTTCCAGCCTGGAGGCCTGAGCAATAATGAGCCCCTTTTCACTCACTCCAGGCCTGCTCCCAGCTTTGAGCCCAGCCTCAGTCCTGCTCCTGACAGAGCTCCCCCTTCACATGCTCACGTGTACACACACACACACACACTCACACACATACACACGCACATGCACATTGTAAAGCAGGTAGGAGGAGTGCGACCATGTCTGGAGGAGAGGAGAAGAGAAGGGAAACGGGAAGGCAGAATGCAGAAGGAGGAAGGAACAGGAGGTTAAGTGGCTTTCAATCCCTCCATCGCATAATGTCTGTTCAGGATCTGCCAGGGGCCAGCAGTCAGCATCAGGTGCAGGGGACATCAGCTCTGGGGATATCCTCTCTGCCCTTCTCAGAACCTACTAGCTGGGACAGGTCTGGGCAGCTGGGATAGCACTGCCTCCCTCAGGTCCCTGCAGAGCCAGAGGTCTCACCACAGAGATGTTGACCAGGCCCATGGAAGGCGTGGCCCCGGCACTGCACACAGCTTCCTCTCCATGGCACACAGACATAGCTGCAGTCAGGCTGGATGGCCGGGTGGCCCCCTTGATGTCCGTCAGGCCCTTGCCCCAAGCAGCTGCAGCTACCAGCCAGAAGAAGGTGAAGGAGACAGTCACGCAGAAGTCCTAGTAGGAACAGAGACATAGGAAATTTACTCAGGCCCCCATAAGCCCCTACTTGTTTTGCAACTGCTGTGATACACTAGGATCCTGGGGTCCTGGAACAGATGCTTCTTCCCATCCTGCCCAAGACCTAGAGCCTCGGGAAGCCAAATTGACCTAAGGAGGCTGTTTACTGCCACCAAAGGAATCCTGCCTCTCAAGGCTGACCCTGCCCAAGCCCTGCGAACTAAGCAAAAATGTACCAGGACATCTGCTGGTCAGCTTCAGTTCAAAACCCAGGTGGCCTAAACTTTCCACTCTCTCCTTCCAGCCTTTCCTTTTATCACCATGGCTCAGCTGTAACTGATGACAGAGTAAGGGCAGACTTCAGGGGGCAAGTAGGATCCCCTGAGGCACCCCTTTCATCCCTGGGATAGGAAGAGGGTAAACGAGAATATTGTTAACAGCTAACACTTACTAAGGCTACTTATGTACCAGATACTTTACATGCCTTATCTCATTTTATACCCCAAAACCACTATGAGTAGGTACTTTTTTTATTCCGATTTTAGAGTTGAGGAAACTGAAGCTTTGAGAAGATAAGTAACGCATGCAAGATCACATAGCTAGTAAGGGACAGGCTGGGATTCGAAGCCACACAGTCTGACTCCTGAGCCTGCTTCTCCATGCTGCTATTGTACCTCCTTAGAGCAGGAGGAGGCTGGAGAGCAGGAGGGGCAATGGGAGGTTGGTAGGGGCAGAGTCCTGAGAGTAGGGCCTCCTACTGGCACAGGGAACTGTGGAGCCACAGTTCCTGAAGGGACCAACAGCAAAGAGCTGGCAGGGAGATTTAGGAGGTCCAAATATGGGTGTCGGGGCCCAGGAAGGCCGCCATATTTGTCCTCCCTAACCTGCACTCCCACCCTCCCAGCTCTGACTTCACTTCCAGAATGAACATCTCCTCAGTTTCTCTGACCCACTCCTCTAGACTCTGCACCCAACCACTCACCACTAGAGGGAAGCGCTTGTTCTCAGTGTAGAGCTTGTGGAAGCGCAGGTAGAGGACAAGTGCAGCCATGGTGTAGAAGAAGGAAAAGATGCCTAGAGTCACAAAGAACTCGGCAGGGGCAGAGAAGTCCCCCATGAGGTGTAGGGTCTTGGAGGTGGAGTCATCATCGCAGAGGGGCATCTCATACTGGACCCGGTTCAACCTGTAGGCCAGAGGGGAGGACACGCTGAGCTCAGGAAAAGCCTCTTCCTGTGAAGCTAGGGGGCTGTCGGCCCTTGAAGTAGTCCTGTGCTAGTTCTGACCCTGAGACTCTTTCAGAGCCAAGGGGCAGGGAGTACTTAGGGGATAACGTTTCTTGAGGGGGCCTTGCAGTCAAGACAGGACTCCTACAAACTTCCTGGGGATTCCAGTCAAACCCTACCTCCTCCTTAGCTGCCACCTGACACTCATCCATCCTGCCCAGACATGATGACCATGTATTTCCAAGTATTTTCAGGGCCTTTCAGGTCACTACCATAATATAGTCCATCTATTTCTGGAAGTCAAACCACTATGCAGATGGGCTTCATTCTGCCCCCTGGGAAAGCAGATGCCTACAATACCCAAGATGAGGTTGGAATCACCCATTATCAGGCCTTATTTAGGCCTCTCGATGAGACTATATTGAACAAAATAAAGAGAGAAAAACAAACTATTATATCCAAGAGACTGTTCATATAACTTGGGTGCTGACACTAGAAAATTTCTGAAGAGAGGAGGCCTATCCTCTTCCTCTGAACACTCATTCTCCCCTCTCCCTAAGCTCCCAAATACCCAAGAGACAGTGCTCTCTTATACCTTCTGGTCAAAGTGTGCCTCCTTGTATTCTAGTGGTATACCAGGTGAGCATCATTCCACATTATCTCTTTACGATCTAAGTACTAACAAGCTGCCTTACCTTCAAGGCAGAGAGTTGGGCTGCCGAGGGTCAGAGAGACCTGCTGAACTTACCCAGACTCTTTTAAGCTTCCTCCCCAAATTACATGAGTTCTTTCTGTGTAAACTGTTGTTTCCTGCTTTTGGTTGTCTGTGGGCTGGAACATTATTGTAACAATGATCTATCCATGTTTCCCTTATGTTTTTCCCTGGTCAGTGTGTCTGAAATTCCTAAAGTGAAGGAAGGACCCAAGTCTTGTAATTCTATGTGAATATGGAGTGGCACACAACAAATGGTCTTCAGGCTTCTGGAGGAGGATCAAGCAGGTCCTGCCAATCCAGTGAGAGAAGCTGTGCTGGGTCAGAACAAATTCCTTCTCACCTGAAGGGATAGCCAAATGAAACAAGGATGGAGCTCACGTCCTTGGCTTCGTTGTTGCAGCGAACCGTTGCTCCTGTCTCCCCGCTGTAGGAGCCGCAGGACCCGAAGGCGAAAATAGCAAAGAGCTGGGGGAGAGTAAAGTCCCTTTGAGAGTCAGAGGTCCTCATCGGGCTGAGACAAATTCCCTAGGTACCACCCCTGACTCCCAGCAGGGTACAGATATGGGGGGAGGAGGATTCTCTTTAATCAAGCTCCTCCTGGGCAGGGACCCATAGCCCTCACTGGTCTCCCAGCCTCAGAGGGCTGTGTTCGCTGTACATGGTGCTGGACCAAATAGCCAATGAAGAAGGTTAGCATTGAGTAGTGCCTGGGAGGAAGATAGAGAAAATGGACAGTTTCCCGGTCTTTTCATTGAACATGACACTGGGGACGAGATGCCCTTAAGATGATGACTAACAAAATCTCTGCCAAGTCAGGCTTTTGGAAACTTTTAGCTTAAAACTAGACTTGGATCTCCTCCCCAAGGGAGAAGCACCCTCAGAAATAACTTTTTCTGCACCAACCTAGATCAGGCATGACTGGAACAATTTCCATTTCTCCTTTGAACCAGCCATCGATACCTGTTATTGCCTTATTGCTCACTCCCAGTGGCTTCCGGCTTCAGTACTGGGAGTGTTGCTGGCGAGGACAACTTCTGCCAAGCCTTCAGAGGAACCAGCAGGCAGGGGGCTACGCTGCTGCTCCATGGTACTGCCAGCCTAACTTCTCTTCTACCCCAAAGGCACATCTCCTCCTAGTGACAGTGCTGACTGGCTGGGCCAAAGCTGACAGTCCTGGCTCAAGCCCAGAGGTAAGTGCCCTCCACTTGCCTTATCAGTTTTCTACTATTTCCCCACTGGTGTTTCCCTCAGTAATCTGTTGATGCTGCCATTTCTCAATGTTAAGAACCAAGGACATTTCAGACCACTTGAATTGTTTTCCTCTCCACCTTTCAACACATTTCACTAAACCTCCCGCCTTCAGTGAAATGACATTTTCTCATTCAATGACTTCCAAATTTCTTTCTGGGGAAACACACTTTGGTTAATAAAGGAGGTGACAAATTGGAATCCATTTATCCTCCCACATCGTCAACTCGGGCCCAGTTTCCTGTGCACTTACCATTGGCTTGTACACAACGTAATCACTCTTACTTAGCAGTGAGTTTATTCTGTATTGTTCATTTTCTATATGTTTCTCTGTGACTCAGCGCCTTGGATATTAAGCACCTGGAAGACAGCTAATCTACATCCCAGTCCTGTATCCCAGTGAAGAGAATAGAGCTGTGCACATATTATTTTGCTAATGCTTGTTACTATTATGGAGTAGAAAGAGACCTGGGTTAGGAGTCAGGAAATCTAGGTTCTAGTCCTGGCCCTGTCACTAATTAGTTGGGTGACCTCTGATGTCAGTCCCCTCTCTGAATCTTTCCTTATCTGTAAAATGAGGGGTTGGGAGTAGACAATCTAGAAGCCTTTTCCAGCTCTGGAAGTATCCCATTCTTTGAGGGTAATGTGCTCTTGGCTGGGCCTGCCAACAGCTGTGCTCTGTCCCCGGGTGGTATCTGCCTTGCATTGCCTTGCCTGGCAGATCTCCTCCATGCTGGAGCCACTGACCCCTCTCTGAAGGTCATAATGGGCACTTCTCTGTTCCTAGGAGATTTGTTCCATACCAATGAGGATTCTCCCCATTTTTAAAGATATCCAAGAAACCTCTCTCCAATGCCTGAATAACATTCTCATTGAACTTAAATCTCGAGGCTGCAGTAGAGCCCTGTTTGCTCACCTTCTTAACAGAGTTGGAGAGAAGTCACTGAAAGCCTTTGCTCAGTTACCCTTTACATACTCCAAGCTGCCTCACTGGTGGCATAATAATGGAACTTTTCTAGCTCTTCCTCATAGGAATTCTCTAATTTTCTGTCAGCTCTGTGCCTCTCTGATTCCTCTTAGAAGTTCCTTTATCCTTCTTAGCTTCTGGTGCCCAGAACTGGACACAATTAGGGTGTCACATTCTAGGAAGGGCAGCACAGTTGGATATATTTTTCACTTTGGCAGTTAGTCAGTGAATGGCTCCATAAAGCTTCCCTAAGAAAGTAGGTATTTCTATTCAGAGCAGTGAGCAGTCAGCTACTGACTCTTCTCTTCATTAACACTCTTTTGACAGGCACTCCTGAACATCTACAGAAAGAATACTTATTGAGCATCGACTATGTACCAGGCATTGTTCTAGCAGTGAACAACCGAGAAAAAAAAAAGTCCCTGTCATTAGGAAGCTCATATTCTAGAGCTGCACTATCCAATATAATAGCCACTAGCCACATGTGATTATTTAAATTAATTAAAATTAAATAAAAGGAAAAATTAAGTTCCTCGTTTCAAGTGTCCAATAGCCACATGTGGCTAGCAGGTACCATACTGGACAGCACAGATGATAGAACTTTTCCATCATCTCAGAAAGTTCTGCTGTGTCTAGATGATGACCCTGAGGTTCTAAAAGTCCTGAGCCCTGCTTTCTGATTCCTCAGAGGGCAAAATATACTAACAACCTTAGTATTAAGTGTATTCTCTTATATTCTGATTCTTCAAAAGTCAATAATCTTTAAACACCTTATATGATAACTCTTTATTATCCAGCAGATATTACTAAATCTGAACTTCACTTAATCAGATGGTGCCAGATAACAGTTTGCTATGCTAGGGGAAGAAGGGAAAAATCTGAGGAGAATCTCACAGGTTCACAGGACAGCAGAGGAAAAAGGATCTCAGAGATTACTGAGTTCAACGTCTCATTTCACAGAGATGTAAACTGAAGCCCCAAAAGATTAAGTGACTTCCTCAAGGTCACATTTAGCTAATGTGAAAGCCAGGCTTAGGATTCACATCTGCTGATTCCCTGTCCACTAATCTTTCCATTTCATTCATTAATTCAACAAATATTCAAATATTGGTGCTGGAGACACAAAGATGAATCAGACCCGGCTCCTGCTCTCAAGAGTTCACATCCATAAAGGACAATGTCATGTTAAAACAAACAAAAACAAAACCCTGCATCACAATCATTAAGGTTAAAACAGAGAACCCTACCACGTAGAGGGAGGATTACAAGGAGAAAGTAGTTCTGTGCCTGGGATACAGGGGCAGAGAAGGACACCCTTTCTGAACCCCCTCCACGACTTCTACCCCTCCACTTTGCTGCATCAGATTTGATTTCTTCCCTAACTGTGCTAGGTGTCTGAGCCACAGAGAAGAGAGGGAAAGAACTGAAACCACTACTGTACCAACCACAAGACTCTAAGATGAACAAACTGGTCATAATGAACAGGAGCCAAGGAAAGATGGGGGCCCGGAGACAAGGAGAATCTCTGGAGTCTGGTGCCCATCAGCCTTCCCCCTCTTGGACCTGCATTGCTAGGGATGGAGGGTGGAGGTGTGTGTTCATGCACAACCCTTCAGCTCCTCCACCTCCTGCCTCTGCATCTCTTGGAAAAGATGTCAGAATAACCTTCCCAGTTTAAGGATGAGGCTCCACTTTGATGCTGACTAGTCAGTCTCTAGTACTCTAATATCACCAGTTAATGCAGGGTACAAGGAAGACGGGTTCCCTCCCCAAATTCTTCTCCCACAATCATCCCATAGGTGTTATGGACTCTGATGGTGTTCTTTCACCTTCCCCACACTTACTGAAATAGCTTATTTTCATCACAGATACCCCAGAGCCAAACAAGCGACATTGGTGCCCCAAAGGTGAATTATCGATCAGGGGCACACCCAGTTAAAGATGATATGACTTATTTATAAGCAAATGGGAACAAGAACAAAGTAACCCAGAAGATTCTTCTGTACCTTACCATTAAAGCAAGGATTTGGCAGTGACATTTGAATAACCTCACCAAACAGTAAGTCTAGCTGGACAGTCTGCATAAGGGGGGAAAGTGTTACTAAGGTTCAAGGGGAAGGAGAGGTTCAGGAATAGGAGGAAAGGAACCCAATGCTTACTGAATACCTCCTGGAGTGCCAGGCTCCCCGTGGTCCTCATGAATGCTCCCTAGGGCAGATGCTTTACAGCTAGTACTTCCTGTAATCCTCCCAGTGAGCCTATGAGATAGGTCTCACCCTCATTTACAGATAAGGAAACTGAGGTCCATTAAGATTTCATCACTTACCCAAGTTTCCATGGCTAGAAAGCAGAGGAGACTGGATTCAAACCAAGGTTCATCTGACCTCGGAGAGTCAGCCTTTTTCTTTTAAAAAAAAAAAAAACTCATTCTCCAATAATTGGCCTACACCCATCTTACTTCTTTAGCTTAGTATAGACTTAGTGAGACTCCAGAATTGGAATTGAGGGTGAGATTAGTGAATTTCTGAATTTAAAAAAAAAAAAAAAAACCCTCTAAACTAAGCCCCTGACGAGCGAAAGAATAACATTACTTTTTTCTTGCAAGGATTCCAGTAAAACCTTTGCTTTTTGATAATAATACCAACGAAAGTTTTTGATTACCATTACAATAACTGCAAGATTTGTGTTTGTTTGTTTGTTTTCCTTCTCCAGTCAGAAGCATTTGATCCTTCCAAGCAGGAAATGAGTAAAAAACCTAAATGACATTTCCACTGTCATTTCTGATGCTGGTCTTCGCGTATTTTAATGTTAGCTTATCCGCAGAGATTCAGGGCAAGTGAAACTCATGCTCCTGAACCCAGGCTGCTAGGATGACAATAAAAGCAAACCATGTCGCCTTATAATGCTACCCTGCGAATGAAGGCTGAGTTCAGAGTCTGGTCCAGGCCCAGGACTTAGCATTATGAGAGAAAGGGGCCTCTGTTTCACATAACCCTTCTCTAAGAAGTCAAGGATCAGAAAGTCAAAGAGATCTTAGCCCTCAGGGCATCAGTGCTGACCCTGGGACAAGACTGGATCATTTCCCTACCCATTGCTTTGTGCAGCCTTTATAGAAATGTGTGTATTGGCGAGGGGGAGGGAGAGGGGAGAAAAAGATGGAAGGACTGAAGAAGGGAGCTTTTCAAAATCTCTCCAGGGAAGACAACTCCATGGTCTAATAATCTCATTGTCTCCCTCATCCCTTAACAGTCTTTCTCAAATTTCCATTAGGTCCATTTGTCTAGTTTAATGATAAAATTATACTTTTATATGTCAGGTTCTGCTCCTCTGGATCGCTCATAATGGTTCTGCTAGTTCTGTGTGCCAGGCACTTGGTGTCTTAATATCATTCTTACACGGCTCCCTTTGTCACTCGAGTGGTGGGTCAGAACAGGGTAGTGGGGGGCAGTGTAAAAGCTCAGTCAGCAGTCAGTTCAACTGCTCTTGAGGCAGTAGGGAGAGTGGAAAGTCCCTGCCAGGTCCTAGGGTTCCCACTAGGGAGCTCTCCAGGCTGGCCTGTAGCCCCAATCAGGGGCTCAGATATCCAGAGGTAACCCCAAATGCACTATTGCCCCCTGAATTCCAGATCTGGTGATTCTCATTCAAACCATGACTTAGGAATTGGTAATACAGTGCTAACTCGTCTCCAGTGAGTTCAAAGCCCTTTAGAATGCAATTCTCCTCAGTATTAACGGTAATTTATTCCCGAGCTGAATTCTGTACTGAGGACACATGAAGTTATTCACACACCATTTGTGGGTGGATTGACTAACTCACATCTTTTCTGCCATAGTGCACTAATGCTTACAAGTCTGTATGATTTGAAAGAGTGACTATACCTGTCCACATTCCTAATTTACACCTAGGAGGCCTTGGGCACTGGGAAGGACAGAGAGCATACCAGTGTCTCAAAGTACTAGTGAGGCAAGGTGATGCTATTCCCCCTCGACAGTACAGGGGAAACTGAGGCCCTGATGTAGTGCCTTCCTCCAGGTCACAGGGAAATCTTAATGTAGGGCAATTTTGTAGCATACTAACCCATTTAGGGAGCCCTGGTGGCACAGTAGTTAAGAGCTCGGCTGCTAACCTAAAGGTCACCAGCCAGCCGCTCCTTGGAAACCCTATGGGGCGGTTCTACTCTGTCCTACAGGGTAGCTATGAGTCAGAATCAGCTCAACTGCAACAGGTTTGGTTTTTGGTTTAACTCACTTAGAGCATAAGAGGACTCTACAGATATCCTCCCATTTGACTAATGAGGAAACTGAGGCCCAGAGAAGTGACTTGCCCAAGGTCACACAGCTGGGAACCCAAGGCCCCAAATTCCCAGCTCAGTGTTCTATCTTATTCTACAAGTCACGTATTAGCTGCGCTGTGATTTTTATTTATTTGTTTTTATTTCTTCTATTTAATCCTAGAGCCATGAGCTCCATCCATTGATTTGCCCACTCCCTCACTCAATTATAGAGGAACCGAGATTACCCAGGTAACCTCAACAGGGCAACCACGGAGTGTCTGGATCCTATGGTCTAAGTCCACTCCCAGGATCAACCAAGTCCTGGTGGATTTAGGGGCAGGATGGTTTCCATCGCCTGCCTCCTTCCTTCTTTTGCCCTCTGAGGCCTCACTCACGGTGAAGAGTGGACCTTGTCCCCCTGGTCGTCCTCCTTCCCCCTCCCGCCACTGAGGAGTGGTATGTGCAGGATCAGAGTTCTGGAAATGTTACACCCTGGTCCTCTTGCCCGGGTGAAATGCGAGCGCCCTGGGCAAAGGCTCCTTGCACATAGAAGGACTGAATCCGGGACTCCACATGCCTCGCTCCTCACGCTCCTGCCACCAAGTGCTGGAGAAGCAGCCCAGCCGGCCCCTCCCCCGCCCACCTGTCACCGCCCCCCGCCCTTCTGCCGTGGCCGGGCCACAGCACCCCCCAACCCCCACCCAGGCCACATTGCTCCAGGGCAGCGTCACAGCCCAAGCTCCCGAAATAGCCCAAGGCTGAGGCAGCGACTCACCCACTGGAGAACTTTGATGAAGCCCAGCGGCTCCTCCAGCCGATGCCAGCGCAGCCCCACGAGCGGCCGGTCTACCTGCGGAGGCAGGGCGGGAGGTCAGAGCAGTAGCAGGAGCTGGGAAAGCGCTGGGACCCCTCCCCACCACTCCCACCGTGGGGAGAGGGAGGAACAAGGGCTGGACCAGACACCCAGGTGGAGAAGGCGCGGTGAAGAGACTCCCGGAGGCGGAGGGGCGCGCGGAAAGTACCTGCTCGCGCGGCGACTTGTCCGCGGTGCGGCCCGAGCTCTCTGTCGAGGACATGCTGGAGCAGCGGGGCCTGGGCGCAGCGCGGGGGCTCGGCTTCCTCGCCTGGAAGCTGCGGGGAGCGCGGTCGGGCTGGGGGCTGCAGGCCCGCGGCGGCGTAAGCGAGTGGGGCTGGAGCGCGAGCGGCCGTCGGTGGGCCGGGCTCCAGGCTGGCGGGGTGGGTCGCGGGGCGCTGCTGCTCGCGCTCGCCGAGGCCGCGGCCGCGGCTCTGCCCCGCCGGCTGCAGAAATCCCCCAAGTCCGATTCAAACTTCTGTCAAACTCCGGAGCGAACTTGGCAGCCGAGTCACGTGGCTAGCGCTAGCTACCCCCTCCTCCCGCCCCCTGCTCTCCCCTTGTCAACCCCGCGCCTTAAAGGGACCTGTGCCTTCTGCGAGCAGCTCCGCTGCGAGGGGCTCAGGCTCTTAGCCAGAAGCCTCCAGATCCGTCCCCACGGAAGCATGACAGTCGCTCCAGTTCCACCTACGAAGTCGGCACCCTCGCCTGGAGCATGCAGGCGCACGAGTTCCTAGTTCATCTTTCCCCAGTTTTCTGGGATTCGAGCCGCTCTGCGTTGGCTTTTCTCCTTTTCCATACCATAATGTTGTCGTTGTTAGGTGCCGTCGAGTCGATTCCGACTCATAGCGACATAATACCTACACCTTAAAGAGTTTTCCTCAGGCATTATCAGTGTTGAGGTTACTTACCCCCAAATCAAGGTTCTAAATCTTACGCTTAACAAACCGTTTACTTCCAAAATTGTCACGTGCAGTACAGACGAAAAGACGATAGAATATAAATTACTCAATTTTATTCTATAAATTTAGGCAGTGTTTTAATTTTTTGATTTTGACTTTTTAACAACAAAAAGCTCTCGTGTGTTTTGTTAGTAATTTAAACATTATTGTTCATTAAAAAGTATAAATTCAATTTTCTTTAAAATGACCATCACCAGATGAGGGTGGGGGAAAAAAAGCTTTAGGAGAAGGGGGTAGGCAAAGAATGCAGTTTGTATCGAAAAGTTGACATTGTTGCATTTTGATTAACCTTATATCGATCCTTAATTTAAAAAAAATGTTTTGCAGGAACATCCCCCTCTCCCCACAGTGGGTAGTCGTGAAACTTACACGTTTGCTTTACGGAATGTAAATGTAAGCAGTAAAAGGTTAAGTAATTTGCCCAAGGACACTGACTCAGACAGCGGGCAGCAGCCCGGAGGAGAAAGAGGACTGTGCTTCCTAAGAGTTGGCTTGTAACTATGTATCCATCTCATCACAAAGTCATTCCTGGAGGTCTCCCCACCTCCACACACACTTCAGAATGACAGCTTTTTGAGTAAACACTGGCTATCATTAACACAATTCATTCCGCCACTGAGAAAGTGACTTCCCAAGGTTCCCCTGGGGCAAGTGACCTGGGTTGGGATCAGGCCACCTGGACTTGTTGAAGGAAACTTCTCCAGAGGACTTGCTGTACAGATTTAGGCTAGTGAAGGAACCGCTGAGTCCCCAGTTCAGCTCTTAATACGTTGTTCTACAGTCTTAGGTTCCTGTTCTGTGGAAGCGGTTTAATAATGTCTGTCGTACTTACTTCATAAGGTCATCATGAGGATGAAGTGGGGTGATGTGTGTAAATGCCCACACTACATGAATGTAAAATAATACTTATTACCAATGTTTCCAACAATATGGATGCAGAATACAACACAGTCAGAAAAGAATACAGAATAACACAGCAAAATCCATACACCACCAACCAGCCTTGTCAAACTTTAACATTTTCTTTATTTGCCTCAAATTCATTCTTTAAAAAAGAAATAAAAACTGCATATAAAATCAAAGCCCTGTGTATACCTCGTGGTATTCCCTTCCTCCCTCTTACTCCCTAGAAGTAACCACTATCTTGTCCTAAATTTGTTTTTTTATCAGCTTGATACGTTTTTATACTTTTCCTAAATATGAACGTATCTAAAACAATTCATAGAAACTCACCAGACATAGCATTCTTTTTCAAATAGTTTTAAACTTTATCTAATAGTATCTTGCTTTAGGTAACCTTCAGCAACCTGCTTTTTCACTTAATGTCGTGTTTATGAGAGTCATCTACTTTGATTCATGTAGCTTTAGTTCGTTCATTTTAGCTGTATAGACTTTCACTGCATATATATACCACAATGTCTTTATTCTCATACTGATGGAGTTTTAGGTTGTTTCCCAATGCTCACTCTTACAAACAGGGCTGCATTGACTGTGTACACATCTTTTTGTTTTTTACTGCATTGAATTTCAAAGCTTCTTTTTTTTTCACCACAAATCCTGTAGGAAATACATTTTTAACATCATGACCCACTATGTAAATGGAAACAAAAGTTTCACAAAACATGCTCATATTTTCTATTCTATTTAATATTTAAAAAAAATTCTGGTCATCCAGAAGCAGATGCAGGTTTTGTGGAGTCTAAATTTTATACAATTGGGGTCCCATTTTAGAAAAAGAATACAAAATTAGGAAGCAGGCTTTGTAAGAAGCTTTACAAGTGAGGGACCGTAAGTTTAAGCTTCATTAACTTCAGGGTAAATACTCCTCTGGGTAGATACACTAAATTGATCTGATGATTCACTAATAATGGGTCCCTACCAGCAATATGGAAACCCTGGTGGTGTAGTGGTTAAGAGCTATGGCTGCTAACCAAAAGGTCAGCAGTTTGAATCTACTAGGCACTCCCTGGAAACCCTATGGGGCAGTTCTACTCTGTCATATAGGGTCACTATGAGTCGAAATCAACTTGACGGCAACGGGTTTGGTTTTTTGCTTTACCAGCAGTACAGTAAACATTGCTCTATACCTAAAAGTAGACTGGCTAGGTTGTAAGATGTGTACATTTTCAACTTTGAATTTTGAAATATGTATATACCCATGTAATCATCACCACAATGAAGATAATATCACCCCAAACAGCTCCCTTGTATCCTTTTGGAATCAATCCCCAGGCAAACATTGATCTGCTTTCTGTCATTATAAATTCATTTTGTTTTTCCAAGGATTTCAAATAAATGGATTATACAGTGTATACTCTTTTATGTCTACCTTCTTCCACTCATCACAATGTTTTTGAGATTTATCCATATTGTTGCATGTATCAGTAGTTTGTCCCTTTTTATTGCTGAGTAATATTCTACCATGTGAAATATGATCCATCATATTTCAGTGGATATCATTTATCCATTTGCTTGCTGAAGTACAATTGGGTTGTTTCCATTTTTTAGTTATTATGAGGAGAGTTGCCATAAACATTTTTGCAGAGGTTTTTGTGTGAACCTGAGTTATTATTTCTAGGATAAATGTCCAGAATTTGTATTGCTAGGTCTTACAGTAAATGTATGTTTAACTTTAGAAGAATCCACCAAACTGTTCTCTAGAGTGACTAACATTTTACATTCCCACCAGCAATGTGCTCCAGTTGCTTCTCATCTTTGTCAGCACTTGGTATTGTCAGGTTTTTGTTTTTTTTGTTTTTTTTTCTGAGCCACTATGAAAGATGTGCAGTGGTATCTCACTGTGGTTTTAATTTGCATTTCTCCAAAGGCTAACAATATTAAACGTCTTTTTAAGTGCTTTTTGCCATTTTTATATCTTCTTTGGTGAAGTCTCTGTTCTAGTTCTTTGCTCATTTTTGAACTGGGTTGTTTCTTACTATTGAGTTTTGAGAATTCTTTATATATATATTCTGGATGTGCATCCTTTGTTGTAAATATCACTTGCAAACATTTTATCACAGTCTACAGATTCTTTTCATTCTCTTGGCAGAGTCTTTTTTTTTTTTTTTTAATGTGGTGAAAATACACACAGCAAAACATACACCAATTCAACATTAACACTGTCTTTTGCAAGAGCAAGTTTTAAGTTTTGGTGAAGTTTACCATTTTTTTAAATTTTATGGATCATGGTTTTGGCATTATGTCTAAGAACTCTTTGCCTAACCCTAGGTCATGAAGATTTTATCATATGTTTTCTTCTAAATGTTTTATAGTTTCATGCTTTACATTGAGATATTTTGAGTTATCTTTTGTGTAAGGTGTGAATTTAGGTCAAGGTTCATTATTTTTGCATATGGATAGTCCAATTGTTCCAACCTTTTTTTGAAAAGACTATACTTTCTCCATTGAATTGCTTTTGCACTTTTGTAAAAAATCAATTGGCCATATTTGTGTAAGTCTATTTCTGGATCTCTATTCTACTCCATTGATCTATGTTTCTGCCCCTCTGCCAATACCACATTGTGTTGGATACCATGGTTTCATAACCCATAACCCATTGCCATCGAGTCAATTCCAAATCATAGTGACCCTATAAGACTGAGTAGAAATGTCCATACGGCTCCCAAGGCAGTAATCTTTACAAAGCAGACCGCTACATCTTTCTCCCGTGGAGCGGCTGATGGGTTTGAACCACCAACCTTTCAGTTAGTAGCTGAGTGCTTAACCACTGCACCACCAGGGCTCCTTCCATAGTTTTATAGTGAGTCTTAAAATAGGGTAATATGATGCTCGCTTTAGCAACACATATAGTAAAATTGGGTAATATGATTCCTTCAAATTTGTTCTTCAAAAAATTTTTTTTAGCTATTCTAGTTCCTTTTCCTTTCCAAATAAATTTTAGAGTCAGCTTGTTTATAGCTACAAAGAAAAAACATCCTGCTAGAATTTTGATTGGAATTGCATTAAATCCATAGATGAATTTAGTCAGAATTGACATCATTACTATGTTGAGTCTTCTAATTCATGAACATGGCATGTCTCTTCATTTATTTAGGTCTTCTTTGATTTCTTTCATCAGTGTTTCATAGTTTTAAGCATACAGATCATGTACGTGTTTTGATAAGTTTATATGCGAGTATTTTATTTTGGGGGAGCCATTAAAAATGGTATTGTTTTAAATTGACAGTTGCTAGTGTATAGAAATATAATTGATTTTTGTCTCTCAATCTTGCAATGTGTGACCTTGATAAACTCCCTTTTTAGTTCTATAAGTTTTTTTTTTTATAGATTCCATGGGATTTTTGATGTAGACAATCATGTCATTTGCAAATATAGACAGTTTTATTTCTTCCTTTAAAGCCTGTATGCCTTTTATTTATTTTTCTTGCCTCATTGCACTGGCTATAACGTCTAACACAACGCTGAATAGAAATGGTGAGAGTGGATATCCTTGCTTTATTCCTGATCTTAGAGGGAAAACATTTAGT